TCCTCCACAAAGAAATCAATGTCCTCGTCGACCACGGAACAATGCCGATACAAACACGGAGGTCTCGTCAAACAATCCTTCAGCATAACCACTACAAATCACCAAAAGCTTCACCTGATATGCTATTACACCAAGGCCGATGTCGTCAATGATAAGCTACCGATTCCAACCCACGACGAGAAATTAAAGATCATCCACATACCCAAAGGAATGTACCCCGAGACTTCAAATGTTGATGGCGTACCTCATGTTCACCATTACGGTAGCGGTGCGTCTACCCCACATCACCACCACCACCATCACGCACATCACCATCATCACCACCAACACAGCCACAGTCATTCTGGTTTCGGTGACGCTTCCGGTATCGAACGGTCAATCTCGCCCAGCCCTTATCCGTGGCAACTACAGCAGAACCACGTTTCATCACACCAGCACCGTCTTTCCGCTGAGCCCATGCAATTCGATTCAAATTCAGCGTGTTCGACTCCATCAATCTCCTCATCACCGTCAACGACCGAAGACGATATTCCCAATTTCTTCGGTCGGTCAAACTACTTCCAACATCACAATGGCGGTAGCACGGCCTCTCTACCTGTCTATCCACCTTCCAATTACATTCAACCGGTGTCGTCGTCGGATGGTAACGGTTCCGGATTTGGCAATGGCACACAACCAATTAACATCCCAAATGCCACCCCGAGGTTCACATTCCCAGCCCTTCAGCAACAACCTCCTTTCCCTGCTTCATATCCCCCGCAGTCATCGTCTCAATCGAATGGCGCTCAGCTGTTACCCCAGGACATTCCCTGGGAGAAGATCAAAAATACCGAGGATCAACGACAGTTGAATGCGATCCATATGACCTTGAAGCTCTAAAGTTTTGACAAGGTGGTGCGCGGTGGTCGCAAAATTGAATCGATGAGTTTTAATGGGTTTTTTTTAATCAGATCTAGATGTATTGAAATGTTTTTTTTTCTTCTTCTCTTCCGTTTAATACTATATATCACCTGGATTTGCGCATTTAGTACACATATATATCAACACTTAATTATCAGAGGGAATGGAGGCCGTATGACGGCTTTTTTTGTTTGGTTCATAAAAACACGAAGTCGTGGGCAGGTTCCGTTACTTCTTTTTTTTTTTTTTACAAAGAAAAAAAAAAATGTTGGCGGGTTTTAATTCTTTTAATTTTTGGGTCATCTCGCATCATCCACTAAATCGATATAAGTGCACATGTAACCCGTCTTTTAGATTATTTTTCGCTTCATCACATTTTTACATTGATAGCAATTGATGATAACTAACATTTGATGCTCGTCATATAATTACCTCAACGGACAATCAACAATCTACCCCATATACGTATCTTATAATAATATTTTATCACCATTGCTTTTATTTCTCTGTGTATAACCTGCGTTTTATTATAATGTACAGAAAAATTTCTTCACTTTTCTATAGACTTTCAAAACTTAGACTTTATAGCATACAAAATAGAGATTTAAATATAAAATATATATTATCACATTTACACAC